GAACTATTTCATCACCACCATATATACATAACTTTCCACAGTCTACTGTTGTCATCATCTGACAGTTCAAGTAAAATACAGAAACCTTACCTTATTTTAAGTCCTTTTGCCCTCCCTCATATTTAATTGTCTTACATATCTCTTCTACATACTTTGAGAACCACATCAAGCCATGCTTTTGCTTCAATTGTCAAATATAATTTGCAAAACTCAAGAAGAGAAGGAAAGTCTTTTGTATTTACTTAGATTCCAAGTATTCCTTCTTTTGTCATTTCGTCACTTAGAAAAATTTGTATAGTCATCCTTTTAAGGTAAGTCTGCTGATAACAAATTCTCTTAGTTTTTCTTGTCTAAGAATGTCTTGATTTCCCCTTCGTTCCTGAAGGGTATTTTTGTTGGATGTGGGATTCTGGGTTGATCATTCTTTGCTCTCAGCTCTTGAAAACTGTTGTGATGCTTGCTTCAGGTCTTTGTGATTTCCAGTGATTTCTGAATGATGGAAACCCCATCGTTCAAATTGTCTTTCCCTGTAGGTGCCATTTCTCTATTGCTACTTTCAAGTATTTGCCTTTGCTTTTAGTTTTCAGAAGTTTGATTCTGATGTATCTGGGCATGAGTTTCTTCAAGTTTATCCTATTTAGGGTTTTCTCAGCTTCTTAAATCTATAGATTTACATCTCTTGCCAACTTTGGGAAATTTTCAGCCCTTATTTCTTTAAATTTTTGCTCAGCCTCACACTTATTCCTTTCCTTCTTGGGTTCCAATGACATGAATATTAGACCTTTTGTTATAATCTCACAGGTCCTTGGGGCTCTTTATTTTTTCAGCCTATTTTCTCTCCGTTTTCCCCGCTTCCAGTTCACTGACGCTTTTCTCTGTCCTCTCCATTCGGCTGTTAAGACTCAGCCCGTGATTTTTACATTTTGCCTATTGTGTTTCAGTTCTAAAATTTCCATTTGGGTCTTCTTCATGTCTTCTATTTCTTTCCTGAGATCTCTATTTCTTTGCTGAGACATTTGATTTCTTTGCTGACTTACTATTTTTTTCATTTGTTTCAAGCATGTTCATAATTGTTCGCTGAAGCAATTTTACTGCAGCTGCCTTAAAATCCTCACCAGACAAGGCCAACATCTGTGCCGTCTTGGCGCTGGTGTCTGTCGATTGCCTTTTCTCATCCAAATTGAGATTTTCCTGATTCTTGAAGTGACAAGTGATTTTCGACTGCATCCTAGACATTCTGAATCTTACTCTCTGAGACTCTGGATCTTATTGAAAACTTCTGTTTGAGCAGACACTGCTCTGATGGGAAGAGGGAGAGGCTACCTCATTGCTGCCAGGTGGGAGTGGAAGCCAGGTTCCCGCTTGGCCTCTGCTGGCTGGGAGGGCACAGGCCGCTGCTCTCCAGGTGGCCTTTGGTGATAGGGTGGGCGAGGCATAGCAAGCTTTCAGGTGTTTGGCTGCTGTAGGGCAGTTATTGTCTACGTGTTGTCTTCCTAGGATGCCGATTTCCCGTTCCTTCGATTGGGTAAAGCAGGTTTTTCTTGGGTCTTTTACTGTTTGTGCCCATTGACATTTCCGGGGTGCTGACTTCTCCAGAATCCAGCCTAGGATATATTAGGCAAAGGAAAACCTGGGAAACTCACAGCTGTGTTGCTCCTCGGGTCCTGAGAGCTCCAGTCAGCCTTCCCTCTTCTCTCCTCCTTTCAGAGCCTTCCTATGTCCTTTTGATATATAATGTCGAGAGTTTTTAGTTGCCCTTAGTGGAAAGGAAGAGACATAAATGTACCTTTTCCCTCCCGTCCCAGAAACAGAAAGGTGTCATGCGTTTTTTTTTTTTCTTTTTTATTATTTTTTATTTCAACATATTAAGGAGTTACAAATATTTTTGTTACATGGATAGCTTTTATAATCCTTAAGTCAGGGCTATAAGTGTGCCCACCACCCAAATCGTGTTCATTGTACCTGTTAGGTAGGTTTTTTTTTTTTATTTCAAGATATTGTGGGGGTACAAACATTTTGATTACAAGTAATGACTTTGCCTCGCCCAAGCTAGGGCTAGAGGCGTGCCCCTCCCCCATAGGGTGCGCATCGCATCCATTAGCTGTGAGTTTATCCGCCCCACCCCCCCACCTGACAGACACCCAGCGAATATTACTACCATGTGAGCACATTAGTTTGATTTGTTTTGACTCTAATTCGCAGGCGGGAACCTCAGAGATTTTCTGTCGAAGAAAAAACAAAAGAACTGATTACTTTTCATTTTGTTCTTTTCCATCCTGTTTGTCCTAAAGCCACATTTCTTTACTTTAATCCACACGTCTGCCTTGGAACTGGTTTGCATATGCTGTGTTTGGAGACCTAGGAATTAGTCCACGGGGCGGGACAGGGTAGGGTAGGAGCTGTGATTATGGAGAGACTGAGAACTTTAAACCTTTGGCCTTGGGGAACAGTTTTAGGCATTTAATCTATGATGGTGATAACTAGGTAATTTGTCCAAAACATATAATCAGTGTGAGGTATGGAGGCAAAGGACTCACTGGGAGCTGGAGCAGGGGACAATCCCAGGATGTGCAGAGGACAAGCAAAGGACGGAGACCAGGAAAGTGGGGTCGTCCCCTGAGGCTCACGCCTGGCTCCGTCTCCAGCTCTTCTCCACCTGCTTCTAGGCAGTGAGGCCCCAGGAAAGTCTCTCTTTAAGTTTGGTGACCAAGATTTTCTTGCAAACATATTATATTCAAGACCCTGTAGAGTTAGGCAAAAGGACTTCAAAGATCCTTGCTCTCAAAAAGTACACGGTACAGGCGCCTCCCACTCTGCGGATTCCTTTCTCATCCTACTTACCTCCTGTGCCCAGGGGACCAGACCTCACATGCCCTAGCGCAGTCTCCCAGGTGACTTTGCCAGGGAGAGAGAACATTAAAAGCCAAACACAGACAGACACAGAGAGAAAGGCGTCTCACCCAGGCTGCCCGCGCTGGCCGCAGGAGCGAGCCCTCACCTGATTCTGAGACAGCGTGAGGTGTGCCCAGGAGACTTACCTGTTGCTGGACGGCTGCCAGGGCTCACTCCCCACAACTGACGCTGCTCAGGAGCAGCCAGGCAGCTATAACAGCGTTCCTGGCCGGAGAACATCTGGCTCCGCGGGCAGGGTGTCGTCCACGCAGCCGGCCAGGGACCAAGCTTGGCTGGTTCTGATCCTTAGCTTGCCTGGACTGTGGCACACTTGGCCCTGCAGGGAGTGGACGTGCCGCAGACAGAAGATGATATTCGGGAGAAAATTCCCCAAAGCCCTCTGCATGGGGCTGACTCTGGTCATTACCGTCAATCTCCTTCTGGCCTTTTATGCCAAGGGGACTTTACAGAACTTCATGCTGGGTGATCTCCACAAGGAGCTCCATTTGCCTCTGTCTGAGTGGGACGGGGCACTGGTAAAGAGACTCTCCCGCTTGGAGGTGGAATTGCAGCATCTGGGTAAGTTCACAGCACGAATTTTGAGGGGATGATTGTGTGTGTGTGTGTGTGTGTGTGTGTGTGTGTGTTTAGGGGTACTTAGAAAAAAGGGGCATGGAGAGAAAAATGGGTGAGAAGTCACATTCTCATCCTTCACTTGCTCATTTAAGCATCTGACATTGAATCCTATACCTCCAGATGGGAGGTAACTGCTGAGAATTGGGTGGGCAGAAGTGGGAATCAGGGCAGGCGGTTTGGCAGAGGGCAGCACAGTGTGCACGTGAGTGGCGTGTGTGTGCAAGTGCACGCTTGTGCATGAGCACAGCTACAGACATGCAGGCAGGAGACAGAGCGGGACCTCTGAGAGCCTCAGGGAGGTCTAGGCACTGCCTGTCCTTAGGGCTGTGTGTGGCGGGGGCTGTTAAAGAGAGGAAGCAATCTCTGGGGCAAAGGCCTCACTTCCATTTTGCTGTGTGCTCCTATCAAGAATGAACTTTGTTAGAGGACCTAAGATCGAATCCCGATAAGGCCGTCATGGTTGTGTGACTTTGAACAAGAGCTTATCTCTCTCGGCCTCAGGTTCCTGGTCTGTAAAAGGAGAGATGATAATCATAGTGACAGATATCTACCTGACCTCACAGGGTCGTGTGAAATACATGTAGAAAGCCATCTATAAACCGGTATGCGCCAAATCTTAACCTCCTCACTTAAAGTTCAGGGTAAGATTTCTGCAAATTCTGGGGTTTGGTTGTGATTCTGGCTCACCACGGAACTCTGGCTCCTCAAGATTTTATGTGCCTCTGCACCTGACTTTAGTGAGGAAGGCAGCGATTTTGCCCTGCTCCCCGGGTGGCAGTGGTCAGACGCTGAACCCCGAAGGGGTGTTGCATGTGTGAGCAGGGATGTGACTGCTCAGATGTTCCCACGTGGGGCTGGAGTTGCGGCAAGTGTCTTTTTATTTTTTTTTATTTTTTTTTATTTTTTTTTGAGACAGAGTCTCACTGTGTTGCCTGGGCTAGAGTGCCGTGGCGTCATCCTAGCTCACAGCAACCTCAAACTCTTGGGCTCAAGCCATCCTCCTGCCTCAGCCTCCCGAGTAGCTGGGACTACAGGCACGCGCCACCACGCCCGGCTAATTTTTTCTATTTTTAGTCGTTTGGCCAATTTCTTTCTATTTTTAGTAGAGACGGGATCTCGCTCTTGCTCAGGCTGGTCTCAAACTCCTGAGCTCAAACGATCCGCTGGACTCGGCCTCCCAGAGAGCTAGGATTACAGGCGTGAGCCACCGCGCCCGGCCGGAAAGTGTCTTTTAAAATGAGAGCTGAGTGTCATCAGGGTTTAGGGGGAGGCAGAGGAATGGATGGAAGGAAAGACAGGAAGAGAAAAAGGAAGAAGACAGGGGATGGGAGAGAGAGAGAGAGAGAGAGAGAGAGAGAGAGAAGGGGAGTGAGAGAGCCAACAAGAGATGGGACAGAGCAGAAGGAGCAGAAGTGAGAGTCCAGGGAGAGAGAGTCAAAGAGTTTATATACAAGAAGGGGGAAAAAAAAAAGAAAATGAGGGAGCAGGGGGAGAATAAAAGGAGAGAGGAGGCAGAAAGCACCCATAGCATCTTCTATGTCCCCGCGTAAGACTCACCATGTTTTACTGTGGTACAATTTTCTGGAAAGCAAATCTCATGAGGGCTGGTTCCATGAACGTCTCATTCACCACTCATTTCTCTGCACACATAGAAATCACATAGATTAATAAGTGCACGAGTGAGTGTAGGAAAGAGAGAGAAGAGGACAGACAGGCAGGGATGGAGGGAAGAGTGATACCGGGCAAGAGAATGGCTGAAGCAGAGGGAGGCTGGTCAGCTCCGGAGGCCGGTGCAGACATGCTCCTTCTAGGAGGACGCCATGGCCCCAGGCTGCTGATCCCAGCACTGCTGTCACACCCTGGCAGAACATCCAGACCACACCTGGATTCTCACCCCTCCCCAGTCTCATCACTCTGGCTCAGCCCTCTTGTGCCGTAACATGGCAGGAGTTGTACCCAAAGCCCAGCCACTCTTTGCTTCTTCAGCTGGGACAGGACATGCCACTGGGAGCCACCCAGAGCCATCTGGTCTACTTCCCTTTCCTTCTTTGCAATGACTAGTTTTCCTTTTTCTTTTTATTCCTGATGCTCCCACATTGTATTCAGTCTAAACAGATGTGGCTTCTGAGACTCATGACCACCTGAGATGAACCTCAAGTGTCTTCTGGGCCCTGTTTCCAGATCACCAATGCTCTTATTTCCTGCAGGGCTTCCTGGAACTGAACTCGCTTGTTATCCCGTGCTCATTGCCTCCAGGGCTCCATAAGTTAATAAGGACACACAGATAAATTACATAAACAATCAAGAGCGAAAGCAAACATGTATTGATAATTATATCCCTACTGAGGGAGAGATCAGTGACTCTGAACCAGTTTGCTGGGGCCTCCCTCAGGTTCCTAAAAGCCCCACCAGAGTGATGTCATTGGATGTGTCTCCTTTGGGGCTACAAGTCATAAGTATAATTCATGGGGATGACCTAGTGACACTGTATTCATCCTGCCAGACTCTCTGAACGTCCTCAAATGCGCTTTAGTGCGTCCAGGTGCAAACCAGTTCCCATGGACAGCAGTGAGTGAAAGAGAAAATCAGATTACCTCCAAAGAAGAAGGTAGAGGAGTTTAGAGGCATAGATAACCCAGTACCACCCTGTGGCCCCTGTATGCTTAGTACAGTAGGAATAATATTATTCAACTTGGAACACTGTAAACATTATGCTCTCACTTTTATTTTCTGAGCACATAGGCACGATGTTCGCGTGAGCCTTCTTTGGTAGACCTATCACTTACTTTTCTTTCCAAGTTTGTTTTGACCATCCTCTTTTTGTCTTAAGCAGTTCCAATCAGCAGTCCCGGGGGGCGGGGAAGGGAGGGTTTCAAGATGATTCAAGCACATTACATTTATTGTGCACTTTATTTCTATTATTACATTGTGATATATAATGAACTAATTATACAACTCACCATAGGTTGGGGACCCCTGCATGGCATAGCTGATTTTCCGTCTTTTCCTTCTCCTGGGGCCAGTCTTACGTCACTTTCCAAACATGTTATCCTACCAGTTACAGGACTTCCCTGCTTCTTTGGGGGGCTGTATGTGGACCTGAAATCCAGCCCACATTCTGCTCACCAAGCCATGTGCCATGCGTGGAGCTTCGTCTGCTCCATGGGACGGTCCCCTCACCAAGTTGGTGACCCTCAGTTGCAATCATCCAGAAAAAAGGGGTGCCTTCTTCTAACTTGCAGAAAGATGTTGTATGGGCTAAAGGTGGTCCTGTCAGGCTGGTGGAATTCAGCGTGGGTTTAGGGCAGGATTAGTGGGAACTAAGTGGATCCTATGTCAGAGTGCCTGGATCACCACTGGGGGGTTTAATGCCAAGGAGGGTCATAATCACTGAACGCTAAATGTTTACTTGTTCTCTCTTTTTGCTGAGTTCATAGATTGAGCTTGAGGGAGTGCTTATGCTCACGCCAAGACTCTCCAGCACAATCTTACAGGGTTATTGTAGCGAAGTAGACAATGGGTGGCAAAGAGCGCTGAAATTTGTAGGCCATTTTCCAAATGCAAAACATTGTTATTACTATTGCTGTCATGGATCCCGGAAGGCCTTCTCTGCATAAATCGTCCTTTTACCTGGGTCTGTCACTACCTGTCCATTATTTTGAGTGAAGGTGTCTCTCAAACGAATGTCATGACCATTGGGTTTATCTGGGGCAGTTGTTAAAAATACAGATTCCCAGACTCTACTCCAGAGCTACTGAGTCAGAGTCTCCAGTGGAGGCCTGGGATTCTGCATTTTAACAAGCTTTTGATGACATTCTTATGACTAAGCAAGTTGGAAAACATAGGACTAAGACATCTCCAATTTCAAAGTTCCTGGTAAAGCAACTACATGGGAAGTGAAGGGGTGGGAGGATGGTGGTGGCTGTGGTTAGAACATATTTGCCTCTGTACTAATAGTGCAATACAGTGTTTCTCAGATTTTACCGTACAAAAGAATTACTCCTTGGTTTTATGAAAAATGTAGATTCTTGTAATTTCCCCTACCCATATTCCCACCTGACCTGAGATTCTAGTTTAGTAGATTTGGGGATAAGCCTGGAGATCTACATTTTTTTAATAATCACAACTGAAGCTTCTGATGTAAGTGATTTTCAGGCCTCATTCTGAAAAACAGGAGCTTTTTGTCAACCTATTTCTCAGATGACAATAAGTCAGTTCCTAGAGGAGCCTGGGAGGTGTGGGACAGATAAGTTTTTTTTTCTTTCTTTTTATTTTTTTATTTCAGTATGTTATGGGGGTACAGATGGTTAGGTTACGTGTGATGCCCTTACCCTCCCTTCCCCCCAAGTCCGAGCTTCAAGTGTGTCCAGATAAGTTTCGATGGAGCTGTATCTAGTGTGTGTCTTTCCAGGACAGCCTTGAGTGGCTCTGACAAGTACCTGTGACAGCACATCCTCTGGGACAAGAGCTTATAAATTTTGAGATTTGAAGAGTAAATCAAGGAAATTAGGATGGAAGGCAATGCCCTGGTAACTGAGGATTGGATGAAATGTTTTCTCCCCCATCCCCCTCCTCTTGCAGAAGAAAGTATGAAATTGGCTCTGAAGCAACAAGAAGGAGTGAACAACACACTAAAGAGGGTGGCAGACGTCCGAAAACCAGTGAGAGCCAAGTTGAGTGAGCCAAGGAAGCGCGCGGCCCACATGAAGCTCTTCCCACGCTCGCCGCTTTTCAAGCAGTGGGGTGAGGATCTCTCCAAGGCCCAGCAGAGAAAGGCCCAGGACCTCTTCCAGAAGTTTGGTTACAACGTGTACCTCAGCAACCAGCTGCCCCTCAATCGCACTATCCCCGACACGCGAGATTCCAGGTGGGATGGACCAAGGGAGGGCTTCCAGGAACCTCAGTTTGACTTGGGGGTGAGCTGGGAGGAGCGGAGTCAGGGCTTGGCCAGAAGGTTGGGGGAGTGGGGAACTGGTGGGGAAAGGGTTCAGGCTCACTGAGCAGAGTTCTCATTTTCAATCCATTTTACAGTGACAGCTCAGGGAAGGTAGCTGATGGATGCAAATATTCACAGCCCCTTGGAGAAGAGTAAAGAGGAGCAGAGATAGCAGAGGAACAGATCCTTTGAAACTTTGATCCGGAGAAACAGAGATACAAGGGGTCAAATGAGAAAGTGAGGCTGAGGAAGGATGTGTACAAGTCACGCCAAAGTTCGCAGCTCTGCTTCCTTCCCTAGGGTTTTCCTTGATTCTCTGCTTGGATTCCTCTTTGCTGTTAAATCTGACTTGGAGTGTCTTCTCTCTCCTTCACCTTCTGTTACCCTTCCCCATTGTTTTTTCTCTTTCTGCCTCTCCCACCTTCCTTCATAATTTTATTGTTGAGATATAATTTACACACCATACAATTCATCCATTTAAAGCGTACAGTTTAATGGTTTTTGCTATATTCACAGAGTTCATCACTTTGAAAAGAAGCCCATTAGAGCCTCTCCCGATTCCCCGCAGCTCCCCCTCCCTGGGCAACCACTCATTGACTTTATGTCCCTCTGGTTTGCCTATTCCAGACCTTTGACATAAATGGGATCACATAATATGGGTTCTTTTGTGACTGGTTTTTCTCATGTATCATAATATTTTGAAGTACCATCCATGTTATAACATGTACGAAGACTTCATTCTTTTCGTTGTCAAATAATATTCTATTGTATGGATTCACCACATGTTGTTTCCCATTCATCAGCTGATGGACATTTGGTTGTTTCCACTTTTTGACTATTACGAATAATGCTGCTGTGAACATTCTTGTACAAGTTTTTGTGTGGACAAATGTCTTCATTTTTCATGACTTGAATCTTAGGGGTAGAATTCCTGGGCCATGAGTTAACTCTATATTTCGCCTTTCGAAGAACTGTCAGACTGTTTTCTGAAGTGACTCCACCATTTTATATTCCTTCCAGCAGTGGGTGAGAGTCCTGATTTTTCCACATACTCACCAACCTTTGCTATTAGTTGTCATTTTAATTATAGCTATTCCAGTGGGCATGAAGTGGTACCTTTGTGGTTTTGGTTTAAATTTCCCTGGGGACTAATGATGATTGAGCATCTTTTCATGTGCTTATTGGCTGCTTGTAGATCTTTGGAGAAATATCTATTTGGAGACTTTCCCTTTTTAAAAATTGGTTTATTTATCTTTTCATTATTGAGTTGTAAAGTACTTTGTATATTTTAGATACAAATTCCTGTCAGAAATATGATTTGCAAATTTTTTTTCCACTGTGTGGGTTGTCCATTCAATTTCTTGATGGTATTTGAAATACACGAGTTTTAAATTTTGATGATGTCCAGTTTATCTATCTTTTCCTTGGTTGCTTGTGCTTCTGGTCTCATATCTAAGAGACAATTACTTGATGCAAGGTCACAAAAATTTATGCCTATGTTTTCTCCTAAGAGTTTTATAATTTTAGTCTTATATTTAGGGCTTTGGTCCATTTAAAATTAATTTTTGTCGTGGTGTTACATAAGGATCCAACTTCATTGTTTTCTGTGTGGCTATTCAGTTGTCCTTGCGCCCTTTGTTGAAGAGTGAATTGCCCAATTTCCACACTGAATTGTTCTGGCTCTATTGTTGAAGTTAATTGGCAATAAATATAGGGATTTATTTCTGGATATCAATCCTATTCCATTGATCTATAGGTCTATCCTTATGCCAGTAACACATTGTCTTAATAACTGTAGTTTTGTAGTAAGTTTTGAAATTGAAAAATGTGAGTCTTCCGACTGTCTTCTTTTTTGTCAAGATTGTTTTGTCTATTCTGGGACCTTGAATTTCCATATGAGTTTTAGGATTAGTTTATCAATTTATGTAAAGAAACCTGGAGTATTTTGATAGGAATTTCATTGAATCTGTAGATCAATGTGTGGTGGATTGTATTTCAACAATTGTCTTCTAATGCATGAACATGAGAAATCTTTCCATTTATTTAGGCCTTCTTCAATTTCCTTCAACAGTGTTTTGAGTTTTCAGAGTATAAGTTGTTCCCGTGTTCTGTTAAATTTATTCCTAAGTATTTGTCTTTTTGATGCTATTAAAAGTGAATTGTTTTCTTTTTAACATTTTATTTTATTTAAATTGACAAATAAAATTGTATATATTTATCTTGTACAACATGATATTTTGCAATATATATACATTGTGGAGCGGCTAAGTTTAGCTAATTAACATATTCATTACCTCACATAGTTATCATTTTTGTGGTGAGAACACAAAATATACCGTCTCAGCATTTTTCAAGAATCCTACATACTGCTGTTAACTATAGTCGCCATGTTGAACAATAGATGTCTTGAATTTACTCCTATCTAACTGAAATTTTGAATCCTATGACCAATGTCTCCCAACCCCTCCCCGCCCATCACCCCATCTCCTGGTAACCACCATTTTACTCTCTACTTCTAAAAGTGAAACTTTTTTGGTTTTCACATATAAGTGAGATCATGCAGCATTATTTGTCTTTCTGTGCCTGGTTCATTTTACTTAACACAATGTCCTCCAGGCTCATCTACGGTTGCCTCAAATGACAGAATTTTCTTTTTCTAAAATAGCAGAATAGTATTCCATCATGTATCGATACTGCATTTTCTTTATCCATTCATCCCATTGATGGACACTTAGGTTGATTCCATACTTTAGCTATTACAAATAATGCTGTAATGAACATGGGAGTGGGAGTGTAGCTATCTCTATGACATACTGATTCATTTCCTTTGGATATATACCCAGTAGTAGGATTGCTGGATCATACAGTAGTTGTAATTTTAATTTTTGAGGAACCTCTATACTGTTTTCCATAATGGCTGTGCTAATTTACATTCCCACCAAAAGAGTGCAAAAGGTATTTTTTTCCCCACATC